ATGATGTCTACTTTGCGGCGGTGTATAGACATCACAGTTTCAGAACGTTTATGTTAATTTTATCACTATGGAATGTAAGTGGTCTTTTCGCCGGAACAATGGCGTTATGTATAAAAGGTTTTTTTTTATAGGAGAGGGGGCAAACGGGCATGCGACTCACCCGATGGTATGTGACTACCGCCGCCCATGAATAACTGCAACACCAGGGCAACCAGGGGAATTGCAGATGCGTTGCCAGCCTTTTAAAAAGGATTAGGCTCTTTTCTTGAAGGTCCCTAAGTCGTATCAGTCCGGAAAAATCGCTGGTGGTAATCAATTCCACAGGGAAGTTGTGCGAGGAAGAAAACATCTTCTAAATGATGGTATCGGGAGTTCTGCCGCGATGTGCGTTCGTGAAATTTGGCGACTGGGATTAATCCGAACAATTCCTGAGAGCACTCCCCGTGGTTTGTTTATTATGTATTTGTGCCATTTTATTAAAATAAAAGCTGCAAAAGGAAGAATAGATATCTGGCAACATTTAGATACCCTTTTTGTATAAAAATAAGAAAAGATTCGTTTCATTCAAAAATATTGATTCAAGGTTTTCATGTAATGGTCGTGATTTTAGTGCCGGGCACGTGAGTTCCCAAGGACGGTTTAGTCGTCTTTCGTCGAATTAGGGACTCCTACAGACGGATTTACTTACACAGTCTTTTGGTACAATACAATAATTTTCATATGATTATATAATTATTATATTATAAAAAAAAATATACAAATTGAAAAAAAACGCATATATAAAAATATGTACGTGCATTTTTAAATTAGTTTAATTCAAAATTGTCTTCATTTTTAACAATTGTAAAATTTATCACAAAAAATTGTCAAAGTAAATATTCTTAAAAAAAATTGGTGTTACTGAGAAGAACAGTGGTAAAGCACTTGCTGTTTCCCTCGATATTTCGAAGGCTTTTGACAGGGTTTGGCAGGCTAGTCTATTGGGCAAACGTTCAGCGTACGGCTTATTGTCTGGCCTAATTATCTGGGTGAATGACTTTCTGAGTGAACGGTCTCTCCGGGTCGTCGTTGATGGCTGCTCATTAAATACTGTGGCGACTAACGCCGGTGTTCCTCAGGGGTACGTTCTCTCCGCAACTCTCTTCCTGCTGCATGTAAATGATCTGCTCATTCCTATCTAATATATAGGGTGTCTATGGGTATGCAGACGACAGCACAGTTGTGGAGAGATACCAACCAAGCACCTGGGCCAGTCGGGATCTAATCCAGTCAGAAAGAGAGGCTATGGTTGAGCGTGTGAGTCTCACACTACAGGCAGTCTCCGAATGGGGCGATGCCAATCTCGTGAGATTTAACGCCTCCAAAACACAAGTGTGTCTTTGTGTGAATTTTCCCCGAACCTAAATTATGGGCGGTTCATTGAGTCTAGAGCCAAAGCAGCGGCAAGGAAACTTGGTATCCTTGCAAGGGTGCGGTGGTACTTCACGCCGGGGCAGCTTCTTACCTTATATAAATCGCAAGTCCGGTCGTGCATGGAGTACTGCTATCACATATGGGCTGGTGCTGCAAAATGCCACCTGGCAGCATTGTACTCAGTGGACAGACGTGCTAAGAGGCTCATTGGTGACCTTGATTTGGTTGAAACCAATCTTGTCAGCCTCGAGCACAGGCGCAGAGTAGCCAGTCTCTCGGTATTCTATAGGATGCATTTCGGTGAGTGTGCGCAGGAATTACACGCCTTAATTCCTCCCTCTCCTTTCCACCATCGGACAACCAGACGGTCGGCGGGTCTTCATGCCTTTGTTGTCGATATTCCACGCATTAGAACCAAACGGTTTGCTTCGTCTTTTGTAATGCGTACAGTAAAGGAATGGAATAATTTGACGGCGTCTATCTTTCCGTCCGAATACAATCTAGGCGTCTTCAAGGCAAGAATGAATAGGCTTTTGTTACGATAAGACAGTGCAATTTACTATCTAAGGCTGCATCACCACTTACCACCAAGTGGGATTGTGGTCAAGCACTGGCTTGTAATAGTAAAAAAAAAACAAGTCCACTGCTGGACCCAGACCACCCCCAAGAAGTACCGCAAAGTAGATGTCCACTTGCATCCATAGACTTTCCACATGTTTTAACTGGTCGTCACTTCATGTAGTGGGTGATTCCCTGACACTTACCAAGGCTGCCAGTAGAAAACTCTTTTTCTAATCGGTTGTCGGTTTATACAGCCTATATCCCATCTTAAAACATAACCAGGTTATTATTCAATCGGTTTAGTAGATCGACTACTAAAGATCAATCTCTTTCACCTGCACTGCACTAAATACGGGACATTTAGGAGAAACACACCGTCGCGCGTAATCATTAAAGAGTAAAATTAAGTGACTTTTATTTGACTACTTTCAAAAAATCAGCTCTCAGAAAATTCAGTTGATTATGTTGACTTTTAATCCACCAGTGAGGGTAATTGATATGCTATATTAAAATTAATGTTTCTTTTAAAAATTAATTCATATTTTTACTAATAAAACTTTAAATAAAAGGTGGAACCAAAACCAAAAATTAAAAAAATCCGCGCTTCTGAATTAGGTACTAAGACAATATACAATACAATTATGAGTAAAGCCTTGACTTCGGAAGCTGTTGCAGAAATTATTTTCTTTTTTGTTTATTATTAAAATTATGACTAAAGATTATCTCAAATGGAAGGTAACAACTAGGATGTTATTTAAATAAGGACACAAAAAATGCATTCGTTTTTTCCACCCTTAGGCATGCAATGTTTTTTTTAAAGCATAATTTTCTTATCTAAGGCCAGTCCCTGAAATATTTAATAAAAAAATATTAATCGGATGAGTCGTTTCCAAGAAATCGGTAATCTCGTTTTTTTCGACAGCTATTGCAGAAAGTATTTTCCTTTTAGGTTTATAATTAAAATTATGACTAAGGATTATCTCAAATTCAAGGTGTGGAACCAATACTAGGATGTTACTTAAATCTATACAAATAAATAAAATTGAAGTGTCTGTTTGTAATGTAAAAATTTACAGTTTTTTTTTTAACTAAATGCATATGATAGTAAATACGGTACTTATAACTAAAATACTATTTTTAAAATTTTTGTCTGTCTGTCTGTCTGTTTGTTCCGGGAAATCTCCGAAACGGCTGGACCTATTTTGACGGAACTTTCACTGGCAGATAGCTGGTTTCATAAGGAGTAACTTAGGCTACTTTTATTTTAAAAAAATAACTAAGGTTTCGCACAAAAACATAAAAATCCTAACACGCGAGCGAAGTCGCGAGGAACAGCTAGTAAGTACATAAAATGTGCATTCGATTTTTTCACATTTGGTCAAAGAAAGAAAGAAGAAAGTCACTCTTTCATTTAATTACCACTGGTTCGAAAAAAAACCCCTGTCCTTGGAAGAACAAGCAAGAAAGCCAGCAGGACTTTTTTTTAAATAACAGTTTACAGTCAGAGGCGTAGCGTGGACTAATATAAACGTGGGCGAAGTTGCATCAGCGAGGCCCCTTTTCTTCGTTTCAAGGATCTACCCAATAGATCCATCCTACCAAACATGCTTTGATACCACATACCTACTCATTCACCTATTAATTCCTGACAAGTCTCGTATTCCGTCAATGTAACGCGGTCTTTGAAGGTAGTTACAACGGCCTCGCAGTCACACTTAAGAGGGGCTTCTTGCGAGGCCCAAAACAAACACACTTAAATTTGTGACTTTCTTTTTCGAGCTTAAAAGTGTTCAAATTAATTAGTCGTCTGTGGTAAAGTGCGTCGCAGTTTGGGGGGCATCGCAAGGCACCCTTAAGTGCCAGGCCGTGGGTGAGGGCCCACTTCGCTCACGCCTGGTTTACGCCACTGCTTACAATCATGTAAGTAACACAATTAACAACACAAAACAAATTTATAAATAGCTTGGTAGTGATCACCTTATTCCCAGCCCAGGAGTCATTATTATACCTAAATTTATTAATATTATACTCGTAATAACCCTTTTTACACAAACTTAGTTTATTAAAATTTTTGAACTTTGATTAGGTTTTGTATATTTTCTGGGATTTTGTTGTGTATATATTGTGTGTAAGTGTGTGTGTGGTATATTAAGTTAATGCTCTCATTGAATAATATTAACAATATTGTGAACATAATAAAATATGTTCTCAATTAGCGAGTAACTTTTTATGGGTTTGTGTTGATTTTTTTACTAAATTAACTCAAAAAGTATTTCTTAACGTTAAATTGTTGATTTTTACTTTAAAATAAATAAATATATTGCTACATGACTATTACAATTACTGTTTTTATTAACATGCATTACCTATCTGTATATGTATAAAAATATACCAGATTTGAGTATACAATAAAAAATAATTAACATGTCTAAATAAGTTTCGGTTTCAGTTTCAGCCGAAACTGATACCCAGACCGAAGGTTCGTTTTCGGTTGTAAATCCTGTTTCGTTCGGACACTAGATACCCTTAGACCACAGCCTAAGAATAATATACACTCAGTCATCGTTTTTGATGTTGTCGGAAAAGCCAACATAAACAATAAATTGCTTGGGTTGTCAAAATAGCAAGTAATAAAAACAAACTGTTTTTATTTTGTTTCACGTTTAAACAAATTAATGGGTATGTGGAAACTGATGAAACTAATTTCTTATCTTTAAATGAGGACGTCCCACAGTTTTTTACCGCATTACCAACCATTTTAATTGCTCGCACGATTGCCCCATCTAGACGTCTTCAATGTCCGACTGTTAGTAATAATTAGACTGTGCTTAGACCATTTATCACTTGATACTGAGATAAATAAAGAAATGGTTTAAAAAACAAGCATCCAAGCCAAAAATTTTAATAAAAAAATGCCTTCGCCTTGTACCTCTCTCCTGCTTGAGTTTGACGTTGACGTTTTTCACTTAGTTTTTCTGTCTTTTCACAATAATTCAGATTGATGTAAATAAAGTTACATTATTAACATGTCTACACCGTCAGAATTAAGTTTTGATGAAATACTGAAATTCATGCTAGCTCATAATGGAAAGGTCACAAATCACGAACTAGTGAAACATTTTAAAGTGTTTCTCATGAATCCTGACATGCGAGGTATGCTTATAACTTTTGAAATGCTGTATGTTTACATGGAATATCTTCTAATTTAAAATTTATTTTAGATGAGGCCAGAAATACGTTTAAGAAGCACGTTAATGCCTTGGCAATTATAAAAAATCAAAATAACGAAAAATGGTTAATTCTAAAAAAGAAATACATGCCGTCTAACGGTAAAGATAGTGACGATGTAGTTGGAAATAAAGTATCAGATCTGCAGTCCAGTATAGCAGATGCTGAAGGTTCATCAGAGCCTAATAATATTTCACAGCCCGTTACATATCAACCACCACCACCCCTTCAGCTCAATCAAGACTTTAGTATTTTGACAAATATTATTCATGACGCAAATATGGGTGTAGTCCCTAAAACGCCAGAAACACCAAATAGTGAATCAAAAGAAAGTCTTTTATCACCTTCAAATGAAGATATTCCTCCCAAAGTTCATCCTAGGAGGAAAACATCTGAAAAACTAGAGAAACAATGTTCTAGCATACCTTCCTACAGTGGTCCCCAATCACCAATGGCCAATCAAGATGTATCAGAATCCAATGAAACCTTGTCCCCATCATTAACATCATCAAGAAGTGAAAGCATGTTGGTAGATAATGAACACAAAATTTCTGTTAAAGAGAGAAAACAAATGTTTAACAGGATGGCTTCGGAGAGTGATGTACCCAAATCTCACAAGTTGAGCTTCAACAATTCGGTATGTTATTTTCATTTTCTTAATGTTTTCTTTTCTTTTCTATGCCTAGCCTATGTACACCTGCAACCAACTAAAAATAAAGAATGTTACAAATTTGTTGTCACCTCTGAGAAATGAGGAAGAATTCCTCACAGCCATTATTTTACTGGCTCCATATACTCTTTAGACAGGAGCATGTATACCACAGTTCCACAGCAGTGCACACAGTTATTTGATGAGTGAAATCCAATAATGTCTCAAAATGAGTTGAATGTAAATTCAAGAAAAACAACTTCCTTCTGCGTGAATCCCATATCTCTGGTGCCCTTTGACCTACAGGACCCAAATTCAAACTCGACCGAGCTACTACCTCAAGGTATCCACATACCAAATTTAAAGTCAATCGGTCCAGTGGTACAGAAGTTATTGTGTCGGCATACAGACTAACAGACTGCCAGCTAAAATCATTAACTTCCTTTCAATGCTATGCAGAAGGAAGTTAATAATTCAGGGACAAGCCAGTCACTAATCAAATTTATTTTGATAATAGAAAGAACTGTGGTGTTAGCCAAGTTGAATGAATGGGAAAGACTCCTTTATGCTAAGGCATGTGACCGTCACATGATTTAAAGTAAAGTAAAATAATCATCATTATTATACCCTATCAGATGTCCCCTGCTAAACATAGGCTTCCCACATATTTTGCTTCATAAGGTGAATATTTGACATAGTTGCCCCAATTGTCAGCTGTGTTAGCAAATACAGTTTTTTTTTATTATTTTGAGCTGTTATCAATTAGATGCTGCTGCCTATCCCTTGATTTAGTTTCCCTCTGTCACCTCTTACGACACCCATGAGATGATATGGGGTAGTCGATTCTCTTATGTCTCTACATCTCTACACGGTAAATGGTTTTCTATTAGAAATAGTGATTGTAGATAGTAAATTTGGTTAAATATGCTGCCGTATTGGGGTGAAAATTGCATACTATTGATGTCAGCAACTAACCATTGATTATGTACTAATTATGATAGTGGAATACAATTTTAATATTTTATATCCCTTTCCTTACACTTACATAATAAAAAGAGTTCAATCATAATTAACAAAAATTGTAAACATAATAATTAGTTATAACATTCATTGTATTATATAATGTCACATTTTGGTTCACAGCGTTTTGATATGGAATAGAACATATTATTACAGGTTTATTTTAAACATCATCATTGTCATCATTGTTACAGCCCATCACAAATCCACTGCTGACATTAGACTTTCCCCAAGAAATTCCACAAAGTGCGGTACTAAGTCACCTGCATCCATTAACTACATGCATCTCTTACCAGGTCCCCTCTCCATCTACTAGGTCTCTATACTTTGCTTACCAGTATGAAACTGTCACTCTAAAACTTTTGTCCCCACCTGTTATTGATAATACGAGTTATATGGCCAGCTCAGCCAGTCAGCTTACTGTTCTGTTGGACTATATTTATAACTTTGGTTCTACTTCTTATTAACTTCTACGTATCACAAAGGCTATAATGCAACAAGTCTATCAATTTTATACACAGGTATATCCAAAAAAATAAGCCTGTGAGCCAATAGTATTGCTTCTCAATTATGTCATGTTCTGTCATGTTATTAAGTAATTTTTTTTATTGTTGTGAAACTTCTTTATCGACATAGTGGAGAAATTTAGTACAAGTGTGAAAAAAGTCACATTTTCTTGTAACGTTCCACTGCCAGGGCTGCATTAGTAATAAAATAAAAGAAGAATATCAATAAGTCGTAAAGAAGTTTCACTTTATATGTGTGTACACAATTACACACACACATTTTTTTTCTTTTATTGATTTCATTGTTTTCTATTACTTTTCAAATTAATGATATGAATGAAAGGAGGTTAATATGAATCAAGATTTATGTTTAGGTCAAAATAATTTTACATTGAATATTTATATTATATTTTTGATGGCTTCGTGGCACAGTGGCTCAGCAATTGTGTTACAGCGCTAAGGGCCGTGGGTTCGAATCCCGCGCGGAACAAGAATTTGTAAGGCCTACAAATAATTTTGCCGGGTCTGGATGTTTGTCCTTGTGCAATTTATGTTTGTAAACTGCCCCCACGATACAGGAGAATATCCTAGTGTGAAGATCACATTTTAAAAAAAAAGAAAAGAAAGAAATATCTTAGTTACCTCTATAGAACAAACAGACATGAGTTTGTCCTTTCTTTATTTTCTTTCATATTATTATTATTATTATTATTTGCAGTGATATTTGCTTATGTTTTTACAGTAGTGGAAAGGAAGTAGTCAGTTACATTGATTGTGAAGGCGCTTCAATTTTAATCTAGTCCTTTAAACAAAATTACACTGTAATTAACTCCAGAAATAACATTAACATAAACTCATGCCTTAACAGGCAGCCTAGAGGCCTAGAGACTGCAGGCTACCATTTGGCACAATCCTGATACCTCTCTCTCTTATTTAACATTCATATAATGCATTCATGCTTGAAATCTCTTTATGAAATAAATGCACTTGTATTTTTGTATACCAGTATTTTTATGGTTTGGTGTTTTTGTCCAACATATTTGGCATTTTAGTCACACCATATTTGCTTGATTGACATTGTATGGATATCCGTAAAATATATAATACCAACATTGATTGTATCTATACATAAGATAAACTTGTTTTAGGTATTTACATACTTAAAACACATTCTTGGAAATTTATTTGCAATTCTTTTATAATAAATAGTTGTTAGTAGTATGATATGTATTTTATAAATAATATGTAGTTGAAAATATAATTTCCTTATCAATTTTTAGATTCAATTTAAAAAAATACACAGATTAATGCTCTCATTCGTCATGTTTGTCTTTTTTAGAGCGATGAATAGATTGTAAGGTTCAGTAGATTTTTGCAAAGAAATTATAAAAAATTATAAAAACAAATCAGAGAGATTTGTTTTTATAATTAATGCATAATGTAGGAATTTGTCATTCAAGACCTTTTGTAAAAATAATTTAATCAATTTAATCACTCGGGTCCAGCAAGGCCGTAACTAAATACTTAGCTACTGTGTAGACATGCTGTCAGTAAATAATACATATATATATATTATTAACCACCATGTGGCCTTGTCAGTACAGTACCTGCGTCTTACCTCTCCCTGCCGAATCAAACACTTGCAATAATACTGATTGTTGGTTTTCGGGTTTGGTTGTGTAGTGAATATATTATACATATTTTATTACCGCTTGCCATAGATTGCTTGACATAGAAAACAGTGTTAATACTTACAAGTATGACCCAGTATCTGTTGAAATTCATTAAATCATTAATTCATTACAACATGTCAAAAGTCCACTGCTAAACATGGGCCTCCCCTATTGATTGCCTCATAGGAAGCTTGGAAATGGAGTAATAATTCATAATTATGTTATCACTTTCTCTGCGTGATAGTACCTGTAATTATGATATTCACAGTAAGAAGAGCGGGATAACTGATGTCCCAACAGATCGATAAGCAGAAGTGGCAAATGAACTTACATTACATCTGATGGTAAGTGGATACTGCAGGCCATGGACACCTGCATCTATCTTTAAACACAGAAGGCTATATGTACATGCGTTTACCTATGAGCATTGAGATGCCACACCTCATATCTTTCAATAATACTGGCTCTCTATACCCTTTATAACGGAGCATAGAAGTTTATGCCCTACGAGTATATCAATTCTTTCTTGCGTCTCAAAATAATTTGAAAGTCTTGTGCACACTGTTTTTACCAAATACTGATTAATTGACACACAAGTGTTTTGTTGGTTCAAACTAATTTGTCCAATTGTACTACTGATCTTTTAAAAGATGTAGATACAGGACCAAGAGATCGACACCATATACACAGACATACGCAGCGCATTCGGCAGAGTTGACCAGTTGTTCCTTTTTGATTAGATGGTTTAAATCGTATTTGGAGAAGAGATCTGTAATTTTTGTCAATGGTTTCCAGTCTAAAGAGTATGAATCTCAATCTGGGATGCCTCAAGGCTCGCATCTAGGACCTCTACTCTTCTTGGCTTTTCTTAACAATGTCAGCACAGAAATAAAAAAAATGTTCTTGCTCGTTATTTGATGATGACTTAAAAATTTACAAACCTGTAAAATCAGTAGAGGATATAAAACTTACACAGAATGACCTGAATACCATATCCCATTGGTGCGATATCAATGGTATGACTCTTAATGCTAACGTAAAATACACCAGAAAAAACGTTTATCTTTTCACTTTTCTCGTTTGTGAAAACTAACTCTCATTTAATTGATATCACGCGAGAGTCTCGGATGAGCAACCGTGCAACTCGCTCAGCTGGGTGTAAGTTTAGTTCGCTCTTAAGATATCCTGACACGTTCTTTGGTGACAAATGATGAACGTGAGCAACATCCAGGGCCTGATTTACCTACAAGCTAATTAAGCTGGATTCCAGGGCTCAAGTAGTGCTTGCCTTTGCAAGCATCATATTTTTACAGATTAAAATTTGATATAACATTCTCCATAAATAATGAAGTAAGAGCCGCAAGCATTTTACTTGTTAATATTTGGAACTAAGTTCCTTATCGGACGGTATGGGTTTGGCGAATGGGAGCTAGGCGACAAAAAGTATAAGATTTTTTCGTCATTATCCCTTGTATCATAGTGTAGACGGCCTTGGCGGCGAAATAAGGAAGTGTGATGGAATAATATCCATCTCCCTCGCACTTTTTCTTATCTTACCATGAAAGAAATATTATTTTATTTCAAATGACGTTTCATTTTAATAGACGCTAGTAGGAATTCATTTATTTGTATTTGTTAATCAGTAATATAATACCTACGTTTATCAATAATAATATAGTACGCAAGGAACTTCGTTCCAACCGAGTGTTCCACGACACTGACGCATTTTTTATTTATAGTACTAAATAAATAAATGACGAAAAATAGATTGTAAAAGTAAGGATTTTAA